GAGCAGATTCTGATTAAAAAAATAGATATATTGTACTCCAAATTTAAATACATAAATGTGTTGGTTGGAGTAGCTATCTGTTGGGATGATAGTTTACCCACTTATTAAAAGTTTTTCATCAGCACATTAATCGTATGAGTATAATTCCTTGTAGTACTTAGTTTAGTGGGAGTCAAGTTCATGTTTTTGTATATTGTTTTTCTTTTCTTTTTTAAGATTTATATTCTTTGTATATTTCTTTCCCAAACATCGGATATATATAGATATTTAAATCATTTACAAAAATGTTTTATATTGAGGACGATAAAATATAATTTGAATTTTTTTTCTCATTGGAGGAAATAAGAAATAGTACTTATATAAATTTGAGATTGAATGATGTGAACATAAATGTATTAGAAGAAAACACATTAGTATCTAAGTTTTAGAACTAACTGAAATCAATAATATGAAAGATAAGTCTAAAAATATTAAAAAAAAATTAAAATTATATATACTTATTAGAAATATAAAATTTTCTAATTCTATCATATAAAATTGATTTATATGAAGATTTAAATATTTAAAATTATATATATTTGTTTGAAATATAAAATTGTCTAGTTGAATCTTATAAAATTAATTTATAAGATGAGAGTTACCCTTTAATAATTGATATTGGATTAACAATAAATTAATTTGATAGAAAAAATTAACAATATCAAAACATATTATTACAAATTAAACTTTATAATAACCTTTGTATTCATATATAAAAGTTGACAGAGAATAATTATCATCAATAAGATATACAATGGGAACTATAGTAAAATTGCAAATTCTATCTGTTGAAAAAAAAAAAAAAACTCTAAAGAAAGGACGAGATTTGTATATATAAATCAATAAATACATAACTGAAATATTAAGTTATAAATATTCATAGAATCTAATATAGAATATCATACTATCTATAAATCACAGTTAAATTGTTTTAAATCTTCACTAAATCTTTTATCTAAATGTGTTTATTAATTTAACTTTTTGTTTGTATTTACAAGAAGTAATTTAAATTATTCATAAAACTTGGAAGCAATCTAAAATTTAAAAATTCAATATGAAAAAAAATTTGCTAAAACTGACATTATAAAATACTTATATCTAATCTTATGAATATAGTATAATATTTCAATAATTTTTGAAACAATATATATAACTTAATAAAAAATAATATAAAACATATATTTGTATAAATTTTTTATTAAACATTTAGACTTTTAATTTTATATATAAATCTTTTTCTTGTGAAAATTTTTACAAAATATCTTTATTTATGATACGTCTTTGTCGAATTGAGTAAAAATATTATAATTTTTCTGCAACATTATTATTGGAAACTACAATGTTCTTGGACAGTGAACCTTATAGTTGGATAATCAAAACATGAAGAAAGATTAATCATGCATGCATCAACCAAGATCCTTCTCAAAATAGCGTGTGACAATTGTACAAGCAAGTCAATCGTGTTTCTTTCAAAATGCTTTCTGCAGAAGTACAAGTTATTTTCAAAAATTGTAATTTCTATCCAATAGAAATTGAAACTTTTTTTTCTTTTTAGTTGAACCATAGACACCAACACCTTTGATGTGCCCAAATGTGTTAAAATGGAAAAGTCAAAATGAAAAATAGTTATTGCGTGTTAGTCTACCTAAAACATGAAATAACAATAATAATTGATTTTGTTAATAATTATTTTAAAATAATAGTTAATAAATAAATATATTTTTTAATTATGATTAAAGAGTATTATAATGTTAAATATTGTATAACTTTAATATTACCTTTTTGTTATTAACTCTTTTTCTATTTTCTCAAAATTTAGATAATGATACCAATCGATTAAAAAAATTATAAATTTGTTGAATATATATCCACAATTGTGTCCCCATAACCAACTTTAATAAAGCCTGATAAGTTATAGGTGGATCCTCGAAATCATAATCACAAAAGAAAAAAAAAAAAAACTATGGAGACTAGGGTACTACCGTTATGACATAGATGAATAAAAGATAATTTTTTTTTCTTTTGGTCATAAAATGTTTTTTTAACATGTTATACGTTCAGAAGAAAAACAAAAATATTTTTTTTAGATATTTATTTATTCAATAATTATTTTATGAAAAAAGAAAGTATATGCACATATTTATTACAAACACATGCTCATTCCTTAAAAGAGTTCAAATAATGAAGTTACTCATTTATCAAAGATTAAATAACAATAAAAAGTTAGTTTAAGGAAGGTTTTAAATATTTAATGTTACATTGAAAAGACTAATTAATTTTTTATTTGAAGTAAAAATAATTTAGCTATTGAAAAAAATTATTATTAATCATTATTTTGTTTAACATTTTAAATTTATTTTTTTAGCGGCATGATTCTAATCATTATTCTGTTTTTTATCCAATTATATTGTTAGACAATCCAACTATTTGTAATGAAAAGTTTGCACGAAAATGTACGAAATAGTTAAATCATAATTATAAATAATGATAGATGGTTTAGATAATGTTAAACTTTTAATTGTAAAACACTCTCTTCTTATCACACAAATACAATCATATTTTTTGTTTAAAGGTAGAATATTTGTTTAACTGTTATTTAAATAATTTGATGAGTTGATATAATCAATTGTTGAATCTTTTAAATTAAAGAATGTTGCCGTTTAATTTTTTTATTATTTTAATTAAACTATTTTCGATGAATGTGGTATCAAACTAACCTTCTTTGTCGTTTCAAAATCCAATACATGTAACCAAATCCATTGTGAAACTTATCAAACAAATCATGAATTATAGTTTCAATAAATATTTTATGTTATTAATATGTAAGTTTATATGTATTTTATTTTAAATATTTTTTAGTTATGATATTTGAATTATATCTGATGATAGCCAGAAAACAAATAACTGGTCAAGGTGTGATTGCATAAAATGATATTTAATCTGATTTTAACCACAAATATAAACAAACCAAAAACTGAACTCTTAAACGTTAAAATATAATTAAATAAAATTTCAGTAACAACTGTTACATAGATTTTTTTTTAATTTCTCTTTTATCTTAATAGAAGAAATTTATTTTGCAATCACAATTTATGAAAAAGAATTAATATATAAAAAAAATTAAAAATAATTGTATTGTCAAAATATTTGAAGTAAAAATAATTTAGCTATTGAAAAAGAATATTATTAATCATTACTCTTTAACATTTTCAATTTTAAATTTATTTTTTCGTAGCAACATGATTCTAATCATTATTCTGTTTTGTTATCCTAGACAATCAAACTACTTGTAATGAAAAGTTTGAACGAAAACGTACGAAATGGTTAATTCATAATTATAAATAATGATAGGTTTTTTTAGATAATATTAAACTTTTATTATAAAACATTATTTTTTTATCACAAAAATACAATGATATTTTTAAGATAGAATATTTTTTGATTATTATTCAAATAATTTGATGAGTTAATTTAATCAATTGTTCAATATTTTAAAATAAAGAATGTTACCGTTTGATTTTTTATTATTTTAATTAAACTATTTTCGATGAATGTCACATAAACTAACAGTCTTTATCATTACAAAATCTAATATATGTTGCAAAATCCAATGTGAAACTCATAAAACAAATCATAAATGGTAGTTTCAATAAATATTTTATATTATTAATATGTAAGTTTATATATATTTTAAATATTTTTTAGTTTTGATATTTGAATTATATTTTATCACAATGAAAGTTAGAAATCAAATAAGTGGTCAAAGGTATGATTACATAGACTGACATCTAATCTGATTTTAATTACAAATATTAAAAAACAAAAGGCTGAACTTTTAAACGTTAAAATATAATCAAATAAAATTTCAGTAAATTTTAAATTAAATTTACATTATCAGTATATTAATATATTTAAATTAAATATTTTAAATTTTTAATATAAAATTAACTATTGACTTATTTTAAACAACAAAACATATAAACATAATGCTTATATGAGAGTATAAATAATTTTTTTTTCAATATCAAGAATATAAGTTAAGAGTTATTTAAATTCATGTTTAAAATTCAAAAAGATAATATCAGAAGATTGAAAGAAAAAAAAAAAAAAAAAGCGCTTCGTCTCATTTAACTTTGGACAACACAACACCGTTCAAGTTAGTCTAAATTTTTCTTCGTCCTCCTTTACACCTTTATAAGTGTGCATTCACTATTACCAAAATCACACTTTTTCTGCTACAATTATGATAATAAAGTTTCAAAACCCCGTCACTCTCTCTCTTTCGTATCTCTCTCAATCTTAGGCTCTCTTCCTCGCCGCCACAACAATAACAAGTTTGTATTCATTTCCCTCTTTTCCCAGATACATTAAGGGTCACACATCACCAAATAGTGTTGCATCAAAAACAAAAACAGCATATTTTTATTCTTTCTCTTATTATTTTGATACCACTACTATATTAGTATAGTGTTATTATTGACCTTATGTTTTAAGTTTGAACTTTAATACTTAACAAGTTGTAATTAGTGAAAGACTGAACTCTTTTCAAGTCTTGAGCCATACTACTGCTACTAAACTGTTTATGTTGTTCTACTTAAATGCCCCTTTTCACTCAAAGCATTTCTTTCTAGTCACCCACCCTTTGCCTTACCTTTGTTCAGTTTTTAGACAGAAGGAGCATAAGAAGAGGAAAGGTTGGTTGTTACATATAGCAAACCCTTTTCTCACTCTTGATGTTTGCTATCATAAGATAATAGATGAAGATATACATCATAATGAAACATTGTAGACCCTAATTTGTTTCTTCCATCTCCTTTTCTTCCCCTCTCCCCCTTTGTGTTATTACTACTATTACTGAATAGGTCTTGTAAAAAAAAAAAGTAGTCTTCTTTTCTTCATCACTGTTTGATTCACCACCCTTTTGCAGAACAGCAAATCACATATAACAGTGGTAGAGAAGAATGGGAGACAACAAAGACCAGGATTTCTTTTCCCACAAAAACCCGACTACCTCTCAGGTAACTCATGTTGTTTTCACTTCTATGTGGAAACACATTTGCAAGAGATTTTTTTTTGTTTTTTTTTTTGAAGAATCTCTATCATTCATAATACTATAATAAAAGATCATTGAAAAGGTTTGAAAGGGTAGCTCATGACCAGAATTTTGGTTACAACCTCAAGATTTTTGGCTTGGTTATTTTATTTATAATTTTCACAATATCAAGAAACTGATGAAAATGTAAGTGTAATCTAAACCTTCATTAATTTTAAACAAAGTTATTCTTTTTATTTATGTTGTAATAATGTGATGTTGGAAGTAGGTGGTGGAAGAGATGAAGGAGCTATGGAGCATGGCCGTACCCATCACAGCTACGAACATTTTAGTGTTTGTGAGGGCTGTAGTTTCTGTTCTCTTCTTGGGTAGGCTTGGAAGTTTAGAGCTAGCAGGTGGTGCACTTTCCATAGGCTTTACCAACATAACAGGGTACTCTGTTCTTGTGGGTCTTGCAGCAGGTCTAGAACCTGTATGCAGCCAAGCCTATGGTAGCAAAAACTGGGACCTCCTCTCTCTATCTCTTCAGCGCATGGTCTTCATCCTCCTGATGGCAATCATCCCCATCAGTCTTCTCTGGCTGAACCTTGAAAGGATTATGCTGTTCATGGGCCAGGACAGTGCCATCACAGGAATGGCATCACTCTATTGTTTCTACTCTCTCCCTGACCTTTTAACGAACACTTTGCTCCAACCATTAAGGGTTTTTTTAAGGTCTCAAAAGGTGACCACACCTATGATGTATTGTTCCCTTGTAGCAGTGTTGTTTCATGTGCCACTGAACTACTTGTTGGTGGTGGTGATGGGGCTGGGGGTGCCAGGGGTGGCCATGGCTTCTGTGCTGACCAATATGAACATGGTTGTGCTTATGGCAGGGTATGTGTGTGTGTACAGGAAGAGGGAAGTAGTGTTGAAGTGGGGATGCGGAGGGGGAGTGGTGGCTGGGATGTGTTCTGGGTTGGGGAAGTTGATGGGGTTTGCTGTACCTAGTTGCCTTATGATATGTTTAGAGTGGTGGTGGTACGAGATTGTGACTGTGCTGGCTGGGTACTTGCCACGTCCAACACTGGCTGTGGCTGCCACTGGTATTCTGATTCAGACAACCAGCATGATGTACACTGTACCCATGGCACTTGCGGGGTGTGTTTCTGCTAGGGTAAGTCTCTCTATACCATACACTTCATTGTATTATTTGGTTGTTGCATTATCTTTTTATTCAAAAATAAATCATGGATACTCATGTCACTTGTCTGCATTGAAATTCAATTTTTCACACATTCAAAAGCTTTAAGGCTCTGATCTTCATCTCAGGCAATAAATATATGGACTGGGTAAATAAGTGCAAATTAAAAACCGAAGGACAGGTGTTCTTTTATGATTACTCTATTTTATTAAAACATAATGTTGACAGGAGAAAAAGAAAACTTTTTTGACCATGTTGGGCTTTGTTTTTATCCTAGTTTGAGTGGTTCATAGTTCAGTTTTTACCTTTTTTAACCAGTTGGGTTGTGGTTGAGACAGGGGAAGATAGGGACTTGAGAGTGGTGTGCAGAGTGCAGTTAGCTTGGCTGGTTTGTTTTTCCCCCTTTGTTTTATGTCTGTGTGATTTTGTATTAGAATTTGTGAGGAGGAAGGAACCATTTACTTTTAGCAATTTGGTTTATTGGAATAGGGTTTGAAGTCAAAGTGTCAGGGATAAGTTCAAAGCTGCATTTTCTTTTTGGTTTAAAATTTAATGTATCTGGCCAATCATAAATGGTAGTTAGTACCATCATAAGTTAGTCTATTAGCATGAAGCGAATGTTATTTGGTCCAAAGTGACATTTTCTTGAAACTTTTTTTGTTTGCTTGCTGTTTTCTTTTTTGCTAAAATGGAAGCCTTCTTTTATTATGTTATTTCTATTTCTGTTGGACTAAACACTTCAATCAAACATAATAATATTGATTGACAAAACAGATTTGGAAGGCATTGAATGGCCTTCATCCACACATGCATTTTATCTTTAGTTTTCAAAACAATCCTAAACAGACCACTAAGCATAGCTTTAACTTTTGAGGCAAGAACATAAATTAATCATTAATAACAATAATAAGTTATATGTTTATTTTCAGTCTTCAAAAAGTTACTGGTCTGTGAAACATCATAAAATAGGTTGAAATCATTATGGTGATGATGCAGCAGTAGGTTTCTTTATTTTCCTTTTCTATCTGATCAGGTACTAAATACACGTGTGGAGGTTATGTACTGCTATTTTGTATATACAGTTTACACCCTGAGTGTCTCATCTTTTCTTCTTTTTGGGCTAAACGTGGATCGCTCAGTTTCTCTGCTTGCTGAGGTATAAATCTGTTGCATGATTGCGTCAAGTACATGGACCCAGTTAGGTCACACTTGCAATGTGACAGGACAAAACTAAAACTAATTAATTACTTACTTGTAAGTAAGTGCAATTCTCCCAGGCTTGCATACAAGGGCCATCATGGATTTCCATTTGACCAAATAATTTAACCATCAAATCCCCAAATGACTCCACTATTTTCTGTGGGACCCTTCAAACTAGTTGGTACTTGATAATGTATCTTGGTACATTTCTGTTTGCTCCAAAAGTTAACTTGTACAAAACATTGGTATGATTGGTATGATGTACCTTTTCAATTATAACCACTTGGAATTTGGCTAGCCTATGTTTGGTTTTCTGGGTGTTTTAAACTCTCTTTTATAACTAATATTATCAACTCAAAATTCTCTAGAAATTGAGTTCTATAGGAACAATACTTGCATTGGTTTTACTAACTAAAGAAGTAGAGGTACTTACTTTTGACTGTCCTGAACTTAAATTCAAACATGTAATTAACAATTTCAAAATTTCATCTTAATTAATAATGCAGGTAGGGAATGAGCTTGGAGCTGGGAAACCATACAAAGCAAAACTAGCTGCAATGGTTGCCCTAGGATGTGCATTTGTGATAGGCTTTATCAATGTGACATGGACTGTGATATTGGGTCAAAGATGGGCTGGGCTTTTCACCAATGATGAGCCAGTCAAAGCCTTGGTTGCCTCAGTGATGCCAATTATGGGCCTGTGTGAGCTTGGGAACTGCCCACAGACAACAGGATGTGGGATCCTGCGGGGCACGGCCCGGCCTGGTGTGGGGGCCCATATAAATCTGGGCTCATTCTACTTTGTGGGCACTCCAGTGGCGGTGGGTCTGGCATTTTGGTTCAAGATTGGGTTCAGTGGGCTTTGGTTTGGGCTTCTGTCGGCCCAGGTGGCATGTGCAGTGTCAATCCTGTATGTTGTGTTGATGAAGACAGATTGGGAAGCTGAGGCACTGAAAGCTGAAAAGCTCACAAGGGTGGAAATGGGGAGTTGCAATGGACTTAGGAGTAAGGAGAATGAGAAAGAGGAGGAAATGAAAGGGTTGTTGATGAATGGTAAGGGGAACAACGAAGATGACATTTGCTAAGGAAAAATGACGCCACACTCACCACACACTAAGTGTGTGAAATGACACCAATTATGACATTAGGATTTTGTTTGTTGGGGAAGATCAATGGGATTGGAGGCTTGTGAGTGGTTCCTCTATGATCATTTTGAGGAGGGTTTATCTGTTTTTCTTGTTTTATTTCAATTTGCTTGGGGAACTTAATCTTATTTTTCTCTCAATATCAATTGTTACATATTTCTATGTTAGGTAAATGGTGAATTACATGTTTAAATGCGTAGCTTTTGAAGAATTGTAGAAATCTAAGCGCTGAAAAGAGTGAAAGATGGATGTGTGATAAACTATAATTAAAATATAATAATAATAATTCATAATTGATTAGATAACTTTCCTATTTGATACATTTAAGACTCAACTATGCATTAAACATAATTAATAATGTGTTTTTTATATATTAACATTTTGCACATATTTAAATAAGATTATATAAAGAAAACTCATTAATGAAAACAAAAATCTAACAACAAAACATATTTTATCAACTCTTATTTTTTTTAGTTTTTAATATTTTTTTATTTTTAAAATTAAAATTCTAAAATTATTTTTTTAAATCTTATTTAAAAAAGATACTTGACCAGTGTTTTAATTTTTTTAAAGCTAAAAAACATAAAATTATTTTTTGAAATCTTATTTATTAATTTTATTTTTATTTTTATTTTAAATGTAAAATGATAATAAGAGTTACATAAAAAATTAAGAAAAATAATAATTTTACTACAATTAAAAAAAATATAACGAAATGTAACACAAGATATAATTATCATTATTAAAAAACATCTAAAAATAATAAATATTTTTATTTATTTTAATTTTAGTTTTTAAAAATTAAAATTCATATTTATTATTAAAATCTGTTGTAAAATGGTTCTTTGAGAAATATTTTAATACTTTAAAATTAAAAAAAAAACATAAAATTATCCAAAAAAATAAAATAAAACAACACACATTTCTTTTTTACATCTTATTTCTTTTATTTACTATTCATCTCATCATCATTCAAATAAAAATATAATTTTTATTAAATTTTTACATCAAAAAAGAATTGAATTTTACTTATAAATGAAGTAAAATAACTTATTTTTGTTTAAAATATAACTTTAAAAAAGGGAAATATATATATATATATATATATATATATATATATATATATAATCATTAAAAATAAATTAATAACTGAAATCAAAATCTTAATTATATTATATATAACATAAAAAAATAAAATAAAATAAATTAAGAATTCGAGATCAGTGTAAAACTTTGATTTAATTGGGATGCGAAGATATGTGATATATGTTTAGAAAGCATATGTGCATGATAGCTGTTGCACACTATGTATAAATAAATTATTTTAACTTTGTGTGGAACACTGATTAACATGTATACACACATAATTAAGGTTTTCCGGTTGAATGTTGACGTTGTCATTTCCAAGGATTGAAACCGTGTATTATGACTTGTTGTATAGCATAGACTGTAGTAAAATCTACATGATTCTTATGTTTTTTTAACCCATTGAAGTAAAAAAAAAACGTATTTTTACGTGTCTTTCACACGAGCTTTACATGTAAATCAGTGATAAACATGAGTTATATTTATGATTTTTTTTAATGAATAACTACTTAAAGAACATTTTAAGGAATTGTCATTATATAAAATTTTTTTAACATGGTTCATTTTTGTTCATCAATAACTATTAAAAAAAAATTCATGTATACGTATAATATCCTTTGTTTAAACAAAATTTATAATTTTCATGTAACAAAATTTAGTTTTAGTAATCATTGAATATTTTATAACTCTTATACTTTAAAAAATAAAAATAAAAATTATATATATATATATATATATATATTAATTTCATTTATAAATCAACTACAGTTTATTCCTAAACTTAAGTTATTATGAATTTTTAATCATTTTTATTTTCTCTTTCATCCTTTGAATTTTTTTTTACTCTATATAAAATACATTTAACATTTTAATATAAAAAATATAATTAATTTTTTTAATTTCATTACAAATATTTTGTTAATAAATGAAAATGCCATTTTATATAACACACCAAACACACGACAAACATTCATTATTTTACATTTTTTTTAATCCATAAAACAAGTGTTAATATACATTTATAATGAGCAACACAAAAATCTTACTTCTTTATTAACTCGCTTTCAAAAATTTGATTCTCCTAAAACAAATTGACAAAAGATTTGTTTTTACTACGAAAAACTGTTTGATGAAACAATTTGAAAATGACACACTTATCATTGTTATGAAAGTGTAATTGGCTATTGAGCTTTTGTTGGATGTACATGAGAATGATAAGGGAATAAAACAAAACACAAGAATGTCCTTTATATGCAATTATTTGAACTTTTCGTGAGAATGCATGCGCAAGAGAATGTAGTTGAGAATGAAATTATGATATTAATTTATGGATGGGATTTGGTGTAATTATGGTGCATTAAAGCAATACACTTTTTTTGCAATTACCTTCACTATTTTCATCCCTTTGTATATTTTGTATGCAACTGAAATAATATCCATTTCTTGCATCTTTAATTAATAATAATTTTTATTGATACTTATAATGAATTGAAAAATTATACGTAATTTGGTACGATATTATACTCTTTTCAAGTAGAAAAAAAATGAAAAATTTGGTTAATTTGATAAAATTGAAAATATTTTTATTACAAAAAAAAATTACTAAATTCAAGGTTAAATATTAATTGAAATAAAGATACTTTTAAAAATATCATTAAATAAAAAAATCATAAAAAAAATTTACGTGCCACTGGAATTAATGTTCCATTAACCATTAAATAATCTAAGTAGTTTTATATATTTAAATTTTGTTGTCACTATTTTAATATAAAAAAAGAGAGTAAAAAAGTGATGTTCAGAGTGACCAAACAATAATATATCCCAACATCTTATTATACTACAATAGTGTTGCTTTTGTAAATATATGAAAATTGTTCATATATATATATAACAATGAAATCATAAGTTAGACATATTTGATTATGTTATTTAATAAAAAATAATATTTATATTAATTTTAGTTTATATTATTAATAAATATTTTATGAATGCATGATCTGTATTTTAGTAGAAATTGAAATGCATAAAAATAAATAAAATAAATAGGAAGTGATATGTTTAATAGAAAATAATATACAATAATTTTTTTTATTTTAAAATATAATTTAAAAGAAATATATATATATATATATATATATATTCTATTAAAAAAATTTATGTTTATGTGTCATCATTATATATAGAAATTTTAATTATGATTAAAAATATTTTTAATGATAATTATATCACTATTATTGAAAATAAGGTGATTTACTATAATTAATAATTATCATTTTAAAATGAGAAATTTATATGTGCTACTTTATTAAATAACTAGCTTCAATGATGATGATGTGTATAATAATTATATTTAAAAGTTATACATGACAAAGTGAAATAATACTATTGTTGTATTATTGATTTAATTAATTTCATGAATACCTTAGACCTACATTAAATTAGGTTTTATTTATCATAATGTATAAAGTAAAAATTATTACTTATTATATAAATTGACTCAGATATAATTAAAATTATCCATAAATTTAAAAATTTTCATTATTATAAAACTATAAAAATTTACTATTGTAATTTTTATCTATAATAAAACATAAAAAAAATTAGTATGTCAATAAGTAAAATTAATCATTACATAAATCGATTCAATTATAATTAAAAGGGTAAAATATATTTTTTATATAATAATTATGATAAATATTTATGTTTAGTATAATTTTTTTATATATTATTAATTATTCTATTAAGTTTTTAATCACCATTAAAAAAAATTAGTTTTAAATTATATATATATATATATATATATATATATATATTCATGGATTTAAGTGTCATTAACATCATATCTAAAAATAATTATATATATTGTTTAAAATTCACTTAGGAGAACTAACAACTCTTACTAAAATAAAATCAATTTTTTCAACAATTAATATTAGTATACACATTACTTAATAGTCTATGTAACATAAAACTAACTTTTAAAATTAAAAGTGATTATTAAAAACTTAATAGAATAATTGATATTATATAAAAACCATACAAATATTCCAGTTGAATTAAACACACAAATATTTGTAATAGTTAGTTGTATGAAAAAACACATTTTACCTGATTGAATTTTTTTATAAAAAAAAATCATTATCGTAAAACATAATAAATTAGAATCAATCTTATGAATAATATATTAAAAAATTACTTAAAAATAATATTTGTATGTTTATTTACTCAATTAGACTATCTATTTTTTATACACAAAATTTAATAATGGAAAATAAATTCATCTCATGTAATTAAACTATTTTTCTTTATCTAAAGAAACATTAGTTTTTTTACCTAGTGACAATTTATTGCATCTACATTCGAGTGATAACCCTTTTACAACCCTTGTTTCTCTCGTTTTAGATTCAATCAACTACCATTCATGGAGCAACTCCATGGTGATTGCTTTAAGTGGAAAGAATAAGGTTTTGTTGGTGGCTTGGTTGAAGAACCTGCAAAGACATCTAGAATGATTTACTATCCATATTTTTCCATGGAGATTTGCTGAGAAATTTAGAACTACAAATGGAAACAACTTCACTAAAACAAGGAGATACCATGACCACCAAGTTCTTCACAAGTTGCAAACTATAACATCTCATAATTAATGTAAAATTTTTAGGTATTTTAAATAATTTATGTAAATATATATATATATATATATATGAAATTAATAATAATAATTATTATAATATATTATTAATTATTATTATATACTATTATAATTAAAATGTAATAATATAATATGAATTAATAATTACTATATATTATTATTAAAAAAGAAGAAGAAGAAGATAACCTTATCTCTTCGT